GGTGGCAGTGAGCAAGCAAGGCTATTTTCTAGGTTTGAACTGCCCTTCCTGCAAGCTCAGCTGGCAGGATGTTGTAGGGATGCACCAGACCGAATGGCCTTTTCAGCTGTGGTCTTGCAGGCTGGAGGTGAGGCCATTGAAAAATGCTGCTGACACCATTCCTGTCTAGATAGTCCAGAAATAAATGCAGGGCTTTGCTGTTCTGTTGACTGTAAGTAAAGCTGTTTTGTAAGCACCACATGAGCCACAAGCTGATGATTTCTTCCCTCTTCAGTGATTTGGTGGTAGGTAACTGGATTATATGAAGCTCATATTGCCTTGTGGTTCTTCCAGTGTGTTATTTACATTATTTTGATATTACCATAAAATAAAGCTTTTGTGAAGTGGCTGTTTCTTTTCATAACTGGAGGAGATGGCATGTTTTTTTAAAACGTCCCTGGCTCTGACAGAAAATAGTTTGTTATTATCTACCATGAATAAGGGCTGATGAGATTTTATTATCCTCAGCAAATATTGTATAAGTTCCACATCTGAAAGCATCCAATGTGATTTCATATGTTCAGCATTTCACTGCTCTCAGAGGAGACAGTTTTGTGCAGTTTCAAATCAACACCAAATACTGGGAATGTGTTGACTCTATTAATTACTGCTTGGACAGTATCCAGAATACCGGAGAATCTGAAGAGCGTCTGAAACGCGGTTCAGTGTGGTTATGTTGTGCTGTAAGCCTAAGCCTTGATAGCTTTATGTGGCTTTCTGGGGAGGCCCCACAGACAGATGTCCTGAAGATTTTCATTTTGGCAATAAATTATCTCTTCATGGCATGTTGTTTCCAAACTACTTTAGCCACTACTGTAGAGAGAGAAGAATATTCTTGCGTAATCTGCAATTCATAAATTCTGCACTGGCTGTGACTTACGTGTGCTTGTTTGAGAGGAGCATTTGACTCTGCAGTGTTGCCCTGTGGGCTGGAATAAGCACCTTGTGTTTATTCCTTTAGCTGAGTGAGGGTTCATGTCACACCTCTGCTCCTGCTTGCAGGTGATGAGCTCTTCCCTGGCTCCAGGCAGTGAGGTGCGTTTATCCTGTTCAGCAAAGACCTCCCTTGCTCGCTGCCTGCAGGTGCTTGGAGGTACAAGTGTCAAAAGAGTTACTGGTTTTGAGGTGAAAGGGCTGGCTGGAAAACTCTGGTATCAACGTTCCTTACGGGTGCCTCAGAAAGGAAGGACTAGTGTGTGTCAGTCAGGGGATGAGCCTGTGAATGGAGCAGATGGGGACATTGCTGTACTTCCATCAGCTGGCTCTCTTAGGGCAGCGTGGATCCACTTTAACGTACCTATGCCTGTAAAGTACCTAATTTACAGAGGTTTGGAATATGAGAAAGTGTTTATTGAAGAAATTGTAGCTGGAAGGAAGGCTGCAACTTCTCTGTTCATCCATGCTGCTTTACATGGAGGGGGAAAAAAGGGTGGTAGAAAATTCTTTGGGATCTGAACCTCTGGGAGTGCAATCCTGCAGCTTTCATGAGCTCTCAGTGAAGTTTCTCTTAAAAATACAGTCAGACAATAGTGGCAACTTTTCAGACTGAAGAGTATTTATAATGAAGACCTTACTCTAAGAATCTAAGATGCCTTTTCTTTTTCTATAATTTTATTGGAATTTGAATGAGGCCTGCTGTTTTCAAAGCTTTTTTTAAAGAAATTAAATTTTAAAAGACAGTGAGGACCTTGACCACCATCAATAAGTGTTGATGTTAATAAAGTTAAATCTCTGTATTCTACCTCTCATTAGAGAATAGTGGATTTTAAAAATAAATTTTCTTTTCATATGATTTTTGAAATTTAAAGTCTTTACAAAGTCCTGCCTATCTAAAATCCAGTTTTTGAAATCTTATTCTCAGAAATTTTGATTAGAAAAATTGATTAGAAAATGAAGGAGGATTTTGTTGTTCCTTCTTTTCTATAGTCTAAGGACTACAGCTTAAAATGGGAAGTCTGCCTTGCTCAGTATGAAACTGCTCTTGCCTCACCATTCTAATGTATGTTTGTCTGTCATCTGTGTCTGCCTGTCATCTATCTAAAGATACACAGAAATGTATGGGGAACATAAGACAGTGAAATACGATATAAAGAGAAGTTTGGAATTGAGGCAATATGTTAGACAGGGCATCCCTTTTTGGAGCCAAAAAAATGTGTATGTGCCACCTTCTGTTCTGCATATTCCTCATAACTCCTATCAAACAACTGGAATTACTTCAGGATTTTTTGCAGAACTGTTCATATCGTGAGATGTATCAGTTCAGTCAGATTCATTGATTTGGTTATCTGTACCTAGGTGGAGAAATGTAGGGGAAACATGTTTGGTGTACTTGGTAAATTGAAAGGTTTTTCATTTGGTTGATATCATCAGCCATGTGACACCCATGTCTGTACCACAGCCCACACATGCATTCATGTACTTCTTTAATATAAATGTGAGTGGCAGGGCTCATCAGAACCCAGAAGGTAGGATGCTTATGATATATAATGCTGTGTTTAGACATTTTCATGCATTCTGAGGGTGTAACATAGCTGTTGTGAACTTCTTACCGATTCTCACATCCTCAGTTCTGACTGTTTTATTTTTCAGGAGTGTTGTGAGTTGTGATCCTTGTGATGCATGGGTTTTTTCCTGCTCTGTTAATATTATGCTGGCTCAGTTGGAAGGTGTTTTGGTACCTTTGAGATGCTTCAAAAACTTGAGGCAATATTAAGTTGTTGTGTGCATTACAGGGGTCCCTTATAATCTAGAAATGAACTGTATCAGCATAAGGACACATAACGTTCGAGCTGTACTTTGAATAACCTGCAAGTCTTTTGTAGTTTGGCATACAATCTGTCTTATTCTGCCTCCTCTGTGTAAGAGTGGTTTGAATCAAAAGCAAAGAAGAAAAGTTCTTGTTGGGTTTCTATTGTGTATTCGCTGAATGATCTTGCTGTGGATAACATCTATATTAGTTGAGCTGCATTGTGACAATTTCACCATCTTCAGATTCTGAACTTTTGTACAGGATCCTACAGGCATATCAGTAAAATGGCATTCACTGAACATGGCAATTTCAATGAAGAATAGATTCTAGAATTTCTTTTACCTGAGGCTGAAGTTCCAAGACTTCCTTGAGATACCAAGTTTTACAGCCTTTGGAGCATGCAGAAAAGTATGCCTTTCCCCTTGTCTGAATAATGTATTCAGTGTAAATGACTTTAATTTCTTTAAGCCATTGTTTGGATGGGGCATTTTAGCCATACGGAAGTAGTGACAAATATATACCTGAACATGAACACCTCTTTTGTAAAATCTCAGTCAAAGAAATTTGATGTTTGCCAGAGCATTTGAATAACAGTTTTGTTAACCTACCTGTTGTAAACCAGAATAGTTACCTTGCAAATGGTTTGCTTCATGATGTTCCTTCATCTGCATTTGAGCACTTTATGCTATTCTTAATTATCATACGTGTACTGAGAGGAATGTTCTCATGAGAGCAGAATTGCTTTTATGAGCCACATGATGCATGAAAACGTACGTGAACGCCCTTATTTCTGGTTTTATTTTCTTTGGAGTCTGGCATTATATTTTTTTCTTCAAAGGACTATGGAGTCAGAGGACCTCTGTTTCCTGTTCTAGTTACCTCTTTTCCATCTTTACTACAGAACAGTTACTCCTTGGCTACTAAGAAATAAACAGAAACTGGAGATATCCAGATGTCCCCTCTGGTTTACAATTGCTGTTGCTCAGTATTACGACATTGTCTGCTACAAACATGTAGAGAAATAAAAAGGTGCATAGTAGATGTATGCAGCTAAAATGAAGAAACTGTGTAGCTGAGAAACAACATGTAATTGGCTGACACATGTTGGCTTAGGATGAACTAATACATTATGCGACTAATAATTCAGTGAGGACATCAATGAAAGAATAATGTATAATAACATCTTTGTGGTTCTGTAGCTACATTGTAACATGTGTAGTATTTAAGTAACAGCTTACATTGGTTTTCATAGATTATAGTTTTTTTCCATACAGAAATAATCTGTTTACATCAGTCAGGGATTCGGTTAAGAACATGATTAGAAAGAAACGTAATGTATCTTTTGTTAATGATAGTTGAATTAAGACAGCCTTTTATTTTCAGCAAGCATTCTGTCATTTTAGTCATATTTCTCTTTTACAGGAAAGATACAGACGAAAAAACATAGATACATAGTACACTTGAGTTGAATTTGACCCTTAAATACTGACGAAAAAACATAGATACATAGTACACTTGAGTTGAATTTGACCCTTAAATACTGGCTTCATTCTTTCTTCAGTGTAAGCTGTATACTGGACCCATAAGAAATTACTTATTCTGTAAATGAGATGTTAGGGTTAATGAACCAGTTCTAATAGCTCCCATATTAAATTTTCATCTAATGTAATTTATTTAAACTAAATTGTTTATAATGAAGGTGGACATGTGCATTTTACAGCTGTTCTATACTGTGATGAAATAGTAGTTAAGTGTTAATCAGAAGATATATATATGGTATTTCTTCTTCTATTTTTTTTTTCTTTTTAATCTTTTTAGTCCACACCACTTAATAGCGTTAAGTTTTATTAAACCTAGAAGGTTGCTGTCACCTGCTCTGTGTGGGTAGATGGAAGGTTGCCCAGGAAGAGAGTGCTATGGAATAGCAAGTAGGTAATTTGGTTGAAGGAAGCTCTTTCTTGCATGAGTAATTAATCCTTGTGCTCTTTCAAGCTGTAGTAAGAAAATGCTCATTAATCAAGATGCTGTTCGGTCACTTTTGCTTTCATATCATTGGGGAGAGATCTGTAAATCTGAGATGACCCCTGTGCTTTCCTCAGAGGTAACAGTGCATCAGTAGTAGGTGAAGCAATGGATTTATATCTGAGCATTTCAGAAATAAAGCGTTGAAATTTGAGCAAGTAAATTTTAGAGGTGGTTTAGATTGGTTGTATAATTGCCTTTTGCTCTTCTGTAGCCTGCCTCATTGTTAACACAGGAAATAGGACTCACAGAAGTGTAAAAAGTATTTTGAGTTTTGAGAAGTCTTTGTCCATTGTTTCAGCTTGCTGCTTCCAGGGTAGCCTTGTGAGGTTGTCTCTGACAGTTTATTAAACACAGGCCCTCTTCTTTGGGCCAGTGATTGTTCAGAGTATGCTTTCTGATCCATGACTCTTCCTGCTAGAGATGGCAGAAATGTCTGTGGCATGAAGCAAAAGTCAGAACAAGACATTATGGTATTAATGTGTATATGTGAGGCATTTCAAGAGAACTGGTAGTTTCTTTGTTAGCCTGTGGGTTTTTAGTGAACCATCTTCAAATCTTCAGTAGTCTTCAAGTCTTGAATTTGCTTCCTTTTTCTCTCTTACATGTTAATTTTTGAACTTCTGAAATAGAAAAGTGTAATTTTAAATAGATCACAGCAGTTATGCAACACTGTAATTTTCAGCCACTTACAGAATATGCCACATCCTTAAAATCAGATATTAATGAATTCCATAATAAACTATGCTACCACTTTTGAGCCTCTATTAGCTGGAAATAAATTGGCACTGTGCAAGATGTTCAGTCTCAATAGACACTCTGAATATGAAGAATTAAATCCAACTGGGGAGAGAGCAGCAGAAGCAGGTCCCTCAGTAAAGAAATAATCTTAGTTTGATCACAGGAGGACAGCAGAGCATTTCGAAGCTCCTAAAATGGTCCCTGCCTGAGAGATGATGTCGTGCTTGTGCCCTGTTTGTCAGAATAGCTGGCATTTGCATGTGTCCTTGGCCTACAGGCTTCTCCCATGTGTTCTGGCCCAAGGATACTGGGCAAAATATTGAAGTTTACACTCAGGCAGATGCTCAGGGAGCCAAAAAGTACTGTTTTGCATCCATATCTTAAAACAGGATGATTTTCTGGAAATACGTTTTTGGAAAGTTTGTAAGGGTCATGAGTTGTGCAATGATACCTGAATGTTAGATTGGAGTTTTTAAGTACTCTATCTTTGAAATCCCTCAGGTTCTGGGCCTCTGCTTGGTTCACACACAGGATAATTTGGCATGAAAAATAATCCTGTAGCATCTTGATGGATGCGCAAAGGTCACATAAATAAAACCTCATAATCACTGAAGGTAAAACGCTTTCAAGAAGCATTCCTGCCTCTTTTTTTCAGTCCTGACAGGCTTACTTGCAACCCCAATTGGAGCGGAGGAATACCTGTGAAAATAACTTGTGATTTTCCACATCCCTGTTTAATAATTGCTGGACACGTTTAGAGGCCAGCTGCTGTTCTGAAAAAAAAAATAGAGAATATATGGTCTTATGCTGGGGAAAATATAGCATTTGGTTCTTGCAGATTTTTCTCCCCTGTGCTACAGAGAAGGCAGCACCTTGAAGAACTGTCTTGTACAGGATTGATTTTTCTTTTATAGCTTTTAATGTGATTTTACCATCATAACAGAAGTTCTTAGTGACTCATATGATAAAAGCAGCAATCTGTTAATGAGGCATTTACCTTCAAATGCTTGCAATGCCATCTTGAGAGGTTTTAAGTATTAAGTTGTGATAATATAACTGCACTGCACTTTAACAATTATCTATATTTAAATTCCCATTCTAGCTTTTTGAAATCATGTTTTAGCATCCATCAGCCCGCAAATAAATGAAACATATTTGAAGGGTGTAATTTTGGGCCCTCATTCGTGAAAAATATTGTTCTGATAGCATTGAATCCACTACTTTAAACTGATGGGCAGGAATTCTGCCTTTTTCACTAAGTTAGGTGGTGAACCTTTTGACAGTGGTGATATTTGCTTCCAAGTTCTGTAAATTCTCTAATACTCAGAATATGTTCCTGTGCCACCACAATCAAAACAAGCATTTGTACTGCAGATAATAGATTTTTGCCCCTCAAGGAGTAAAGCAAAGAGACAGTAATGCTTGCATAGTTTTACTAGGGTAGTAATGTAGAACCCTAGGAGAGCCTTCAGCCTAAAACCAAAAAAACACACAGCAGGCAGATACAGTAGATGCTCACAAACTAGTACAGCAGGAAAGGCCACCATACTGTGTCACAGCATGCCTTCAAAACAGAGGCCAATGTGATGTTGGACTGAGCAATCAGTTTAATTAAAGACAAGAGTAAATAACAAGAAAACACTGTTGAACCATCAGAGCACCTGCATAAGAGTGCCCCAAATCTTCACAACTTCTTTGAATCCTGTCTACAGCAGTGGCTCTCTCCAGCTCTTGCTACTCCGTGGCTCTCCTCATAGCATCCTTCTGTAAGATCCTTTTTGTCAGTTATTCATTTTGCTTGCCAGATGGTGATTCTGAGGGTACCCTGTGTGGTGTTTTTCCCCTTCCTAGCCCCATTACCCTATCAATTCTTTTGTTTCTTGTTGCCATTCACTCAGGAGAGGAATATTAACGTGCTGTGCCATGTAATATGCATTAAATGAACATTGCATTGCAAATGCAAAGTTCAATTTTTTTGGCTCCTACCCATCCCAGTGATCTCCCCTTTTGACCTTGCGTTCCTGTGTGGAGTTCTTTCAGACAACTGCTTGGCTATTTCCTCTGAGATAGGTATTTTGGAGATGACATACACTAAGTGCTTGCTAGATTTTTTTAACTGCATCAGGCACTGTAATGGCAAACCCATCTTTTCCACACATGGTGAGGCTGCTGCTTCTTTTGAAAGGCATCTTGCAACAGGCTGTGTGCTGTGAGGCTGTCAGAAACATATGCCTCATAATAAAGATTTATGTGCTGTATAGAAGTCAGTCCTGGCAATAACAGACTGTTTGTGAGCTGTGACTAAGTCTTCAGAATTGTAACATTCAAAGCTCATGCTTGTCTCTTTCCATTTGTCCTTTTGGTGTGGGGTCTGTGCTTCCTGACTCTTAGACAGTTATTTCAGAGCTAATTTACTTATTTTAAATGAGTACAGGGTTTTTTCCCCCCTCCTAGTATTTAATTTCTTATCTCCTGTGCAAATAGAGGTCTATGAAACTGCATTAGTTTGCTTGGCAGACTCAAGGAAATGCCCTGCTCCTTCCTTAGTCTGTGTATCATAATAGCTATTACCATTCTGCAATATGTTTTTAAAATCTGTAATTTGATTAAATAGTGAATACCTGGTTAAGGTAGTTAGGGCTTGGGGTTTTTTCATTACCACTTACAAGGGCTGACTCAGAATCAAAAGCATTAAATGAGCATGTAATGGGGAATTCTCCTTAAAGAGCCCATGTAGAAAATATGCCTGAGGGATGAACTCTGTTTTCTGTCATCCAGAGATAAATTGAGAGGAACTCTACTGAGGTGAATAGAAGTAGCTCACATTAAAATCACTATAATGATAGAAAAGATCATCTAATACCATCAAAAAGCTTTTTTTTAATTTTTTTTTCCTTCCTGACACACAGAAATACTTAGCTGTTTACTCTAGCTTTACTATTTCCAAAATACAAACTTAACTGTAAGGAATGAGTCCAGAAAAATGCCTTTGGGGCCTTGTTTAAGTAAGGATTGCCCATAGCATTTAAGGAACTATAACATCAGAAAGGAAAATGGCCAACTTAGAAAGAAGAGACACAAAAACCATCTAAAAGGTTTGTTCAATTACAGATTTGTTACTGTATAACTGATTCAGTGTTTCATAAAATGACAGCATGGTTCAGGATTTTGGAAATCATCTTGTCCAATTCCTGGCCAAGCAGCACCACCTGGACCCAGTTGCCCAAGACCATGTCCAGGACCATCCTTAGGATGGAGACCCCAGCACCTGTCTGGGCAGCCTGTGACAGTGTTTGGTCACCCTCACAATGAAATAATTGCAAGCACAGAAATTAGAAACTTCACTTCCTCTCGAAGTGACCATTACAGTATGCTGCCAACACAAAAATTAGGCTGAAAGATTTGACATGGTCATTGTCTGCCTGGGAAGGAGCACAGCCACAAGAACGGGGGACACAGTATTGCCCTGAGATTTTACCTGGGTACTCTCCCCAGGTCTGGACCTGACACTGCACACAAGTGTATAGAATTGCTCCTGAGCCAGGGAAAAACACTTGATAGTAGGGTTAATGATGCCTGTTATATACTGTGTCTGGCCTTTGGTTAAACTGATCACTTGACAAAAAGTGATCTCTTTTTACTGTGGGGGAAAAAAAAATAGGAAATGGTCTAAAGTGTTGGGAGCAGACTTTGCAGAAATTCACAGATGCTCAGAGAGTTTTGGACATCTTTTAATGGTGGGATGTTTGGCTGCTGCAGGACACCTACTGAAGTTGGCTACCTGGATATATCCTGCTGCCTCCTACCTGAATATCATGGTGCTACCTTTCTGGGCAGGATGGAGAGGAGAGGCTGTCTTGGCTGCTCAAAGAGCCTCTGCTTTCTGACAGATCTGGGAGTGAGAAGGGAACTGCGCAGCTGAGGATGCGCTAAGTTACTCCCAGGTCCAATCTCTGTTAAACATTTGTAGTGCCTGATCAAAACCTTTACAGGGAAGGAAGAAATATGTTCTGCATTTTGTTCAGAACCACATTGCCAGAAAGGTGACTAAGCTACTGACAACTGTTAGGAAATATGAAATGAATTCATGTGCAATTGTGGTCTTGTGAAGTTGTGTTTTCAGGGCACAGATGTCTTGCTTCCACCCATATTGTCAAGCAATAAAAATTTGAATGATCAAAAGGTTATATATTAGCTAAAACCAAAGCAAAGGAAAAAATGCACCGGATTTTCCATCTTTTTAGCCTGTGTGCTTTCCCCTCTCTTTGTGTAGGTTTCTGAGCCTTTAATGTATAACTGGATCATACTTTTTGGTTTTTTCTCAGTAGAGTCCTCAAATTAAAAAAAATCCTATTGATTGAAAAAGTATTTCCTCCTTAAACTTCTTTGTCTGGAGTAGTAGGTTTTGAGGTTCTCAAGTGATGTACTAATTCCATGGAGGGTAAATTAAATGCTGAATGGACTAAATGAGATCCTGTCATACAGGTAGACAGCATTGATTGTAGGCAAATATTTGCATGTATTTCTTCTTGCACATGGCTCTTACCAGATAGGTGGGTGTACTGTTATCCATGGTTAACCCACCAGTATAGTACTGAAATTTTAGGTTGTTTTGTATTGATTCTGAATTTATTTGGAAGATCCCTAAATAGTGAAGAGTACTTGAGTTAGTGATGCCTTCAGAAGTACTCAATGTCTCTTCAAAAAGACTGTGCAAGTCCCATTTTTAAAATTGAACATTTTTTTTCTTTTTTTTATGATTTGAAGACATAATTTAGATATCCAGTGTGGTAATAGTGAAGAAGTTCCTGATTTTTTCATGGGCTTGTAGTAGTAATAATAATAATAATAATAATTGTAAATATTTCTTTGACTTCAGTAAGAACTTAGTACATGCCATACTAAAAATAATCTTGATAAATTCATTCTCTTACATGCATGAACACAATCTGATGTATTGTGCTGATCACTTGTGGCAGTATCAACTAAAAAAAGCTCAGAAGAGTAAATGTGATTGTCATTAATTTAGGACTCACACGAGATTAATTCATTGCATCTGCTATATTATTGTAATTATATACTGTTAGCATATTGACACTACACTGCATCTTACACAAAACTGTGCATTATTTGCTTTGTTTTTAAGCAGTTGATTCACCTGCAAATTCAGAAACTAATGTAACAGATTTCCCCAGAATAACCACAATGTCTCTGGTTCCTTACAGCAAATGCATTATGCTGTAACAGGGAACTTTAAAGCTGGGAATGTGAAGTTTACACTGGCTTCCATCAGTGGAACAGACATGAACCTTTTCAAAATCAACCTGTTCTCTACCCAAGTGATTCCAAACATTTGGTTTCACTTACTGGTTTTAAATGTTGTTTGCCATCTGTATCCTACTAATCATTTATTTTTGCATTAGGTGTTAAAAAATAAAATTCAGTAGACAGTATTACAAGCACATGTGTGACTATCTTCTTAAAAACAATTAGTCTATGTTTCTTTCTACTGATGATTTTCAGTGTTTGAGGGAGGCCTGCAGGTTGGTGTGCCTGAGGACACTTGTTGGTGTGGTGTCCTAAAACTCACATGGCAGTCCTCCCTCAGGCTTTGCATCCCTATGAACTGATCTGGTCATGCTCTTTGTGACCTTGCTGCTAACAGTGGCCCAGAGCTGCAGAGATGATGGCTTGTAGGGTGGACCTTCTCATTGTGCTGAAAGTACCCTGGTTCTCCAGAGTGCTCTGCACATTTGCAGAGTCTCTCAGCCCATGCAAATTTCTTTTCACAATGGGAAATTGATCACCTACTGGGCTTGTAGATTAATTTTATTAACAGGCACATACTGAATCATTAATTTTGACTTGTGGTTTGATCTTATACTTTTCCCTTTCTCTTATGAAAAATAGAAACATTTTATAAATAGTAAATGAAGTGAAAATGGGATTTAAAATTTAAAATAATGCTATGAATTATGAAAATCATGTCACTGTTTAAATAAGTTAGTAATTGGAGGAGACATTTTTTCAAAAATTTTCAAGCTTTTTTCTGATTTTTCTCTTTCTAATGACTTTTTTCCCTGAACTTTAAAATATAATTAATTTATTTTTCTTTGCATATGGTTTATTAGATGCTCAGTAGATAGTTTACAGCTGTAAATTTTACACTGATGGTACAGATACAGAAATTTTGTTTGTGCTTTAGGATGTCAGACTAGAAAAATAACAATTCTGAGATAGTCCTGTGAAAGCACAGTGTGTGAGTGAATGAATCGTCATTTCTGGCTGTGCAGGCATAGTGCTTATTAATGGGAGCAAAGGGAGAGCAACCCACCTAGCAATCCATTAATGGGGCTTTGTAGCATTTCTGTTTATGAGGAAACATAATGAATGACCCATTAGATTATGAAACTGCTATGCAGAGAGCATTGTCCTCTGGGCTTTTCCTAAAGAATGCTAGTAGGGCATCCAGAGAATCTAGTGACTTGGGCCCTATAGCTATGATGGTGGTCAGAGATTTTTTGAATTCTCAAAATCTGTGGAAACTGGGATAGTGTATTTCATTGCTTTGTCACAAAAACGCAAATTGTGAGCAGAAGTGGAAGTGCTCAAAATTCATATGGAAAGAGAGGCAGGATAGCTGGTCTGCCTTACTATTAAAGATTATTACAAATGTTTCCTGTATATCTGACAATGAATGGTTATGGACTGCAATTATGGTGTGAATATGTGCTGTATTTTGATTTGAAATCCATAATGCTGTAACAACAAAATGGTTGCTGATTTATGCATCTGGTTTAATTTTCTGTTGTGAAATAACAATAAGCTGAGATATTTTTTTAAAGTTTGTAGAGGACTCTTACATGCAAAAGCACTGACTTCTTTAAATTCTACCTTTTGATTTCTTCAACATTGCTTCTGTTGATGTCAGTGGAAGCTTCATGTCTCGTTTGTGTAGGTATCTAGACGTGAGCATCTCCTACCACCACTGCTGTTGGCAGCTCTCTCAGCACTGAGCACAAGGCTTGTGTTCCCTGACAAGTGTCTCGGTGTATTTCTGCTTTTAAAGCACTGTTTGTGCAGTAATAGCCCCACAGTTGGGTGATAGCAGCGTTTGGATGTGAGCTCAGTTCTTGAGGCCATTGGTCACCCTGTTGATGTGCTTGGGCTTAAGACACTGCAGGTTTAAACACTGCAGGCTTAAAACATTACCACACCGAGAGTGGTGTAGGCTGGA